TGGGACAGGTGCAGGACCCTATACTTGGCCTTGCCAAACTTCAAGAGGTTTGCAGAGATCCATCTCTCAAGCCAGTCAAGGACTCCCTGAATGGCACCCCTGCCTTCCAGTGTGTAAACTGCCCCACACAGCTTGATGTTGTCAGCAAACTTTCTGTGGGTGCACTTGATCCCACTGTCCATGTCACTGACAAAGATGTTAAAAAGCACTGGTTCCAATATCAATCCCTGGTTGATGACTGCTTTCTACTTAGCCATCAACCACAACCCTTTGAGAGTTATCCAGCCAATTCCTTATGTACCAAGTGTTGCAGTCATCAAATCCATGTCTCACCATGTTAGAGACAAGGATGTTGTATGAGACAAAGAAGTATGGGACACTGTCAAATGCTTTGCAGAAATCATTATGTCAGTGAGATTGTCACTCAAGAAATATAACTTTGAAGAGACCAGAGAGTTCCCATTACAAAATCTGTGATGCTTAGAATCCACTAAGTATATGGTACTATATATTTTTATCTAGAGAAAGTATATCTCTTTGAATCTATACATATATATATATATATATATATATACATATATATATATACATATATATATATATATACACATATATATACACACATAAGTATACTACATACTAAGCATGTAGTAACAAATATATGACAGTCACAGCACCTAGAATTTCTGGATGACAGTTATGCAATGTGGACACTCTAGAAAGCAGAAGATTAAGGAGGGGTAAGCTGGTTTTGGCTGCGATCTAAATTTCATGTTTCACTAGCACAGAGAGAGTGAGAAATAAGCCCACAGCCTTCAAGTATTGCACATACATATACTTCAAACAAACACAGATATTAACCATTCCCCAAGTCCTCTTTGCATCATAGCAGCATTACCAAGCTAATAGGAGCATACATGTTTAGCACCGCATGTCAATATACATAGTGAAGGCAAGGGAAGTAAAAAAGGCAATGTGAAAGCTATGGGAATAGTCTTTAAATGAAAATTAGAAATCTCAGAAATATGACAATACACTCAGTCTCAGAAATTAAATAGACCAAGTTATGGAGCATTTTTCAAGCCTCATAAGAAAGACTTAAAAATTTGAGAGACCTCGAGCTTCAGCTTGCTAAGAGTTGGCAGCCTCACACACATTAAAAAATAACAGAAAATCATTACCTTTATAGGAACAAGGCAAAGAGTTTGAAATGTGTAAACTAATAATTTTGTTTCTTGTGGTAAAGTCCACATTCTCATTGCAAAACCATTTCCCACCCATCTTTTTGGCTGAATACATCATTAGAAACATTAATTTTATATGGCAAATTTTCTTGTCTTTTTCAAGTATTTCCCAAGAATCCTTATAGGCAATTGAGCTAAAGGTTAAAATAAAAGACACTGGTTCTGGAAAATTGATAATATAAATAGTATTATCTTGATGAGTTCAATAGAAATAGATCATTAATTTAACTGGCTACTGAATTCTCAGGCTAAAGAGGCAGAATGATATCTGAGGTTCTCAATCTCAATTTTTCTGGCACAATGTGTTTTCTACTTCAGAAGCACTCCAAATCAATCTATGCAGCACATTGGTATCACTGCAAACTGGAAAGCTAGTAGGTTAGATAGTGTAGCAACAGTTCTTTTTCAACAGAAAAGTCCACAGAAACTTGCCATTATTCTTTCTCTTAATTTCTAATGCTGGAAACCAGGAAATACCTCTTTTTGACCACAATCAGAGTAATCACTGAAGGATAAAACCAAACTAATATTTTAAGAAAAAAAGGAATGAAAAAAAAGCCACCAAAATTGGGGGCAGGCAGGCTTTTGGGACATTCCTTTCTTTATAACAGTCTGTTAGATATAATTCTTCCTACAAGTGTCATTGTACTAAAAAAAGAAAATTTAAATTTAACATTTCCTTCCATTACCAAAATACAATATTTTCCCATGGATTTCTCCCTCATGTCCAGCAGAGGGTAGCAAAAGAACAGATTTGTGAATTCCAGAAAACATTCATCTCCACTGCTTTTCAAGAAGAAGCATATAATAAAATATTTTAAGATTGGGGTTTAAGTAGAAGTACACTACTCCTCACACAATCACCATAAGAAGTTTCTTCTTGTAATCAAGAACTTAAGTGCATCTTTGCTAACCAAATGATCATTAACATGAGGTACTCAGCATGGAAAGTGAAGATATGTATCCTATATCTACCAACTTCAATCTATAAGCTAAAAATTCTATTAAGAGAGATTTAAAAAATACAGATCTACTTCATGAAAAAAATGTAGACCATTCTGTCTGGGTGTACTACTTTAAGACTTCTATATCTGAATGGAAATTCAGTTTGGCTACTGATTATCATGATTCACTTAGTGGAGGAAGGAAGTTGTACATTTTATACATCTAGTCTTTAAGAAGGGCTTTGACACCACTTCCCAAAGCATACTCCTGGAGAAACTTGCTGCTTATGGTGTGAAAGCACTGTTCGCCAGGTAAAGAGCAGGGTGGATGGCCAGGCCCAGAGACTGGTGGGAATGGAGGTACATCCAGCTGGCACCAGTGAGGCTCCCCAGGTGCTCAGCACTGGGCCCAGTCTTGTTTACTGTCTTTATTGGTGATCTGCCTGAGGGCTTTGAATGCACTTGCACTTGCAAATGACACCAAGCAGGGTTGGAGTATCCATCTGCTGTAGGGTGGGAAGGCTCTGCAGAGGGAGCTGGAGTGGCTGGAGAGATGGGCCAAGACCAGTGCCATGACATTCCACAGGGCCAAGCGCCGAGTTCTCCTCTTTGGCCACAACAACCCCAAGGAGTGCCACAGGCAGGGGCAGAGTGACAGGAAAGTGGCCCAGCAGAAAAGGGCCTGAGGGTGCTGGTGACAGCAGCTGAACATGAGCCAGCAGTGCCCAGGGGGCCAAGAAGACCAATGGCATCCTGGCCTGTACCAGCAAGTGTGGCCAGCAGGAGCAGGGCAGGGATTGACCCCCTGTACTCAGTGCTGGTGAGGCCACACCTCCAATCCTGTGTCCAGTTCTGGACCTCTCAATTCAAGAAGGACATTGAGGTGCTGGAACATGTGCAAAGCAGGGCAACAACCCTGGTGAAGGGTCTAGAACACAAGTCCTGTGAGGAGTGACTGACAGAGCTGGGTCGGTTTAGCCTGTAGAACAGGAGGCTCAGGGGTGACCTTATCACTCTCTACAACTGCCTGAAAGGAGGCTGTAGCCAGGTGGGAGTCAGTCTCTTTTCACAGGTAACAAGTGACAGAATGAGAGGAAATGGCCTCAACTTGTACCAGTGGAAGTTTAGATTGGATATGAGGAAAAAAATTCCTTATGGCAAGGGTTACAAAGCGTAGGAGGAGGCTGCTGAGGAAAGTGGTAGAATCACCATCCACAAGGTTACTGTAGGCCCTTTCAGATAATTACATATTTGCAATTTACTTCGAAGAAGTAGAGTGAGATGCAAGCTGCCAACAGGATATGTATTGAAGTCTAACCTATTTTGGTTATTTTTTATTCAAAGACTTGTGCTAATTTTCTTTAACTTTTAAATGCAAGAGGTTTCATCATATACTTTCCCTTAATCACTGCTTAAATAGCCATCCTTATCAATAAGTAACAGAAGACTCATTTTTCTGCAGACTGAATATGTCTTCTTACATTATTAAGATATTCAGAAAGTTAAAATAGTAATACAAAATGTAGAAGTGAAAAGAAAAATAATTTTTTTTTTATTATGGTTAGAGGGTAGCATTTCCCTAATAAGACCATCATTAGGGTACAGTTCAATCAAAGTATTTAAAAAGATAAATTATTTGCTGCCTTTCTCCTCCTCCTTTAAGCTCATGACTTTTCTGTTAGTATACAAAAAGCCATGAGGTCATAAGAAGAGTCCTTACTCAAGTACAGGGAAGTAAAACTTGATGCTTTTTTAAAAGGGCTATTGGAACTTCACAGTATGCAACACATTCCAACTGAAGGCAATTCTACTTAGGCCAATAAGTGCAGCTCAAAATACATGACAATAGATTTCCTGTAGAATTCTTTGAGGGCACAAAGGTCTACCTTGTTGGTCAATAAGTCAGTGTTTTTAGTTGATGAGCTTTGATCTTCCCTGTAGGAATTTTCTTTTGTGCTTAATCTTTAATGCAGGACTCTACCTACCTAAAAATCAACACTTAAAACATTTCTTTTACCTTTAAGAGAAAAACAACAGAAGAAAAAACACAGCTGAAAACTGTGTTACTTGTTGTTTAAGGGTTCAATATTTAAGAAGTGACAGTTCTTTTAAATTCATTGCAGAAAATATTTAAAGATGCCTTTGGTAGAAAACATACATCAGGATAAAGAATTGTCCACTCAATATGATTTTCTGCAATAACAAATATTCTAGGAAGAAAGTCTTGGTCCAGATTGTACAAACATATAACATAACTATTACAAGACCTATCAGTTGACAAATAAAATATTGAAACTTAGGAGGAAACTAGCTAGTTAGTGTAAAGAGCCTATTTACAAGATAATATTCTCCAAAGACTGGAGACTTCTCAACCATGGGTGTCACTCAACAGAGAGGAAAACTAAATGTGCAGTAACTAACTCTAGTAACTAACTCCAGGAGGAGGCTACTGTAAGACCATTGCGATCTTCCAATATCCTACTCTCTCACCTAGCACATCATCTGACAATTTTTGCAGGTCCAGTAGATTCTCTACCAGAAATCCACTAAACCAAAATATACAAGAAGACAGACAAATTAAGACTTCAAATTTCCTGAAGTAAAGCTAGCCTTTTTTTCACACTTATATAAGCCCTTTCCTATCACAAAAGTGGTATTCACCTGTTCAGCCATTTCTGCAAAACAGATGTTCAATATTTTGTTTATCAAGTACACAGAATTCCAGCCTAACTGGAAGGTTTCATCCCTCAAAAATGAAATTGCTCAGTGACAGGGCTTGTTGAGACTAATAGCAATAGTCAAAAAATCTTACTTCAAGTTCTTTTAAAAGTCTCTTCTCTCGTTCACTGCTGCATTTAAGTTCATTGGCCTGGCATCTCAGCACCTCATTACAGCCACTGTGTTCCACCTCCACATCTTTTAATTTCTTGCGTATATTTTGTAGTTCATTATTCAGCTCCTAGAAAAAATATAAGGCATTAAGAGTTACTTTTGCTAAAATAAAGTAGAAGGATCAAAACAGGAAAGAGTGCATCAGAACAGGTTAATAAAATCTAATACATTGGCAGGTGTCAAGCATTTACCCAACAACAGACGTTCTTCATTCACCACCAGATAATATATGTTGGCTCACAAAACTCACTACAAACATGACCTTCTGCAGTAGTACTAAAATCAGAGCCAATTCTCCACAGGAAATTTTTCTCTAAAGTACAAGGCTGCTCTTCCAATCTGTTCTCTCTTGCAGCTCAATGGCAATGGTGGAGAGGGAAACAGTTAAGTGCATTTGATGAAATGACAGAAATTTTATTTAGAAGTTTGTTGTTATTCTAACTGTTAGAACTTCAAATAAAGTAATGAGACATATGTTGGAAGTTACTCCCATAGAAGAAATATTCTTAATTTCTACTATTCTGAGGACTTTTCTCAGAAACTGAATTATAAAATTAGTTACATGAACTATGAATTTCTTGGAAAGATAAAATAACAAAGCTGCCCCCCCCCCCTCCGCCAATTTCAGCTTTTGGAATCTGAACCAAGACACAGGTTGGTGTAATTACTAACACCATTGGACTCAGCAGGTCTGTGGAGCCACTATTACAAAATCCTCATTCATACTACACCAGACACGGAATAAAGTAGCCAAATAATGAGCCCCCAGTAGCTTAGCGCATATTTAAGCTGGGGATTCCAGAGGCCTTGAAAAAGAATAGCTTTCGTCTAGTGGACAGGAGTAAGCTTTTCCATAACTAGCATCAGAAACAAGTTACAAATCCAGTGACTTAGCTGGAAGACTTTTTGAAAGCCAATTACTTTCTGTACAAAACACAGAAAGATTATCATAAGTCCTCCTGTTCATTTATTCCTATCATTTATCATGGCAAGAGGCATTTTGTGAAAATAAGCCAGTTGGTCTACAAATTCTGCTATTACTCTTACATCACATAATCTTGTTCCTGAAAATTACTAATCATAAGGCATCTGCAGAGCAGGGAGGAGAAGGAAAAGAAAATGAATTATTAATAAAGAACGATTCTTCGGAAGATTGAAATTTGACAGAACCATGTTTATACATGAAGATCAAAGAAATATGAGTCTTTTCCAAAGTTTAAAACAAATTTTAGAAGTTCTTCAGGACTGAAGGTAGAAAGTTTTGGCCTCTTAAATATGACACTAAGGGATTCATGACTCCCTTATTTACATCTAGTGCCACTCCATTATCACCGACTAGTAACTGAAAAAATTAATTAATTTTCACTTTTTTTCATGTGGAGGCACTATGGTATGATTTTTTGGCGTTCTCTGACAAGATGAAAAGGAGCATGCTTGTGAAACAAGTGAATTAAAAAACAGGAACCTCATTAAATCAAAACATTTCAAAAACAGAATCAAAATATTTCAAAAGCAGCCTACCTGGATATGGAATAAATTTAAGGTAATCTTCTAACTTTTCCTGTAATACCAAGACAATGGAGAGGTTTCTCCCCATCAGCATGCAATAAAACCAAATACTTTTACTCAAATTCACAACTATCATCTTCTCTATATTGGAAAAATATAGAAATATTTGTCTTCAGATTTATCTTCCACATATCAACAGAACTATGTCAAGACTTCAAAAAACTGACACCAACAGTACATTAAGCTTGTGAAACAAGTCAACATGACTTCAAAATCTTGAAGCCTCTGAACTTTTCAGACACAGTGTAACCGTATCAGCCTGCTCCAGCAGTTACCCACACTTGGAAGGTTCAGAAGGAAACCTACTTCACCATGCGAAAAAAGAAACACCTTTATACATCCATGTGTATCTGTGTGTCACTCACACACTCACTATACATATCTCCTTATCAAAAACATGGCCGGTCGGTTGGTTTAGAGTTTGTATAAACAACACAATTTCACAAACAGTCCAAGGAAAAACTGAGTGCCTCTGTGAAGGAATATTATATTATGACTCACCACAAGATGATGCTATTGCACTTACTACTGAACTCCAACATCTTTTTCATGTACCAAACACAAGGCTAAGCACACTTAATATAGCACAATACAAAACTTCCTCTCTCAGAAAGCAGAGAGGATTACTTTAACTCCATATCATAGAGACACATTTTAGTAGATTAAATTGACTTCATTTCTATGCCTACCTGAGCATTTTCATAGCTAAGTTCAGACTCGTAGTTCACAAAGTGCAAGTTTAGAACCAGGATTTGACATCCAGGTTTAGAATCTCACTTCTTCATACATATCAAGACCACTTTATGTAGCTTTCATCTCATAACTCAAAATAATTACAAATTATTTAAAACAGGACTGTAAATACACAACACTAAAGACTGGAACACATTTGAAGCTTTAGTTTACAAACCTAGACCCATCTGATATTTATCTGCCACGTTAAGTCAGTTAAGATTTCAAACAACAACTAAGATAGTCAAGTCCAGATTTAACATTCATGCATGTATGCTTTATTTCCAGGAATTTTACAACTATATGTAACTATAACTAGGGTAACGGGCAAGGGAACACTACAAAAACAAAGCAGAAAAATGGAACTATTGCAATTGAATTAAATCCAAAAATTTTGCTATTCAAAGCAACACTGGTAGTTGACATCTAGTAATGAATCACATACTTTAGGAGAGAACAATTATATAGCTTTAGTACAATCTTCCAACCAAACCACTGCTTCTACAAATCACCTTCCACTTCCAAATCCACACACATTGACAAGGAATACAATGACCTGAGAAACCCACTGTTCCAATTAGTCTCTCAAAGTACTGTTCAACATACTGACAAAATTATTGAGAGGATAAGGGAATTTCCTTTTTATCCTTCATTCAGAGAAAATTCAAATCAGTGGGGTCCTTTTCCACCATCACATCTCTTATCATTAGGATAAACAGCACAATGCAACTCCTTTTGCAGTCCATGCAGAGAAACACTATTCATCCACACACTGCTTGGGTGTCATTAGTGCACCACTCCTTCCAGACCTTGCCTTCAAACAGCTGAAGGATCAGTATACAGTACTTCTGAAATATACGTAATTCAGGGAGTGTCTCTGCCCTGTTTTGTTTTGTGAGCTGCTTCTACAGATGCCATATAGAATCTGAGCAACAGCATCCTAACAGGTAGGTCTGCTGTCAGAATTTGGCTATCAAGCTGCCAAGTAAATTTAGCATCATTTAGGAAGACTGGTACTGTCCCAGGCTTGGAGCTGACCAGCTGGAAAGACAGTAACCAGAAAATTTTCTACTGCTTGAGCAATGCCCATTCCAATTGAGACAAGTCTGTCACATCTTAGAAGGGACTAAAAGGAAGGAAATATATTAAAAAGTTAATCTTGTAGCAGCAATCTGTTCTCTGCATACATCATGCAATTCAAATGTCTATCAGCCTTAACAAAGTCTCTGCATACACCTCTTTTTATGAAGAATAACTACAGCTGAATACATTCTGGTTTTTCATCATGTAGTATTTTTACATGGGTAAGATACAACATATGTAACTTGTAATTTAAAAAGACAAAAGTATAATTGAAGTACAGTGGTGTAATTGCTTGTCTCCCTGTGAAGCAGACAAAAGTTAGGTATGTTCACTCAGCACTTCCACACCATAATGCTACACGATTTCTTCTAAACATATTTCAGTTTTGGATCACTTGACTGTCTAAAAAAGGTGTAAAAATAAGTTTTTACTTTTACTACTTTTTAAACATTTAACAGCCAAAGGATATATAAATATCAGCATAAATCACGAAATACGATGAAATAAATTACTAAATAACAAAATCCCACATTGTAGAACAGATTATAATGCCATCTCTTAGTATTAGGTGATTTTTATCTAACCAAATGGCAGAATTTCCAACTTCCAACAAACGCTTACTTTTCTTATGTGGTATGAAGTGAATAACATACAATGCACAGCTTGAAATCCCATCATCACTGTTCAGGTTCCCTGTAAGTATGTGGTCTTCATATTATACAAACTGTTTTCCTATTCACAGGCTATTGGATGTCATACTGGGGGAAGTAACAGGGAAATTGAATCGGGCGTGTTAGGCATCCTGATTTTACTGACTCAGTATCAAATATCATGACGGTGCAAATGGACTGTGCACTGGTAACTTCATTTTGGCGTTTACCATCAAAATCAGCCATAACACATTTCTTTAAAGCAAGAAAGACTGTGACATGCCAAGTGTAACTTAATAAAGCTATGTTCTTCAGAAATACCATGCAGCATTTAGCTACTTGGGGGATGTTTTCCTACATTAGAAAGACCGCAATCCACTACACACTTCACACCAAAAAAGTTCCAGCCATTATCTAATGCAACTTTCCAACTATTAATACACCATACCAGTAAAATAGTTTCTACTTCATTTCTTTCTTTAAGAAGGAATACATATTCATTGTTATAAATTCTGCTGATATCATCCTTCGCCTTCGCAAGTCTCTGCTGTTCCTCTTCCCACTTCTGTTGAGCATTATGAAATGTTTCCTCAGTCTCTGTCACTTTCTGCTGAAGGTTTTCATTGAGTACTATTGTTTACAGAAAAAGAAAAAGAAAAAAGGTAGAAGCAGCATGGCAAAACATATCCAGAAAAAAAACCCAAACACATAATGATCATCAGTTCTTCTGTGTATTTTAATACCCAGTGGAACATTGCAACATTAACTCTCCAGCACTGGAGAGCGCCAACTTCTCTAAGAAGAAACCAGCAAATTTTGTGTTCTATCACATCTTTCCCACAAGAACATAGGAATATTTGACAGATTTTAAAAATTAAAACACTTTTTTCTCTTAGAAAAGGACAAAAACCTGAGATAATTCTTTGTAGATCCCTTCCGAATCAGCATATTCTGTGATTCCATGAAATTACATCATTATAGAATGGAAGACTTATTTTCAGATTTCTATATTTTGCCAGATTATTTCCAAATAATCTTGCAAATAATCTGAAATAATATTTCATTTTTGATATAGGTATTAGTCTGTATAAATTAAATTTGAGCTCAGTTTAAATGACAGTAAAGATAGGAACCTGTTCCATGAAAGAGACTGTAGATAAACCTAAGGTACGTTCGGTTACTGCTCCTCAAGACATCTAAATCTTCAGCCCATAAATGACTTGAAATGGGGAACATTGTATACACACTTCAGTGAAAGCTTAAATGCCATGGAAATCTCATAACCTGTAAGCATAACCTTCATAACCTTTATAGGAGAAAATATTTTACAACAGCTTTTTACTTTACTGAATACAACTAGCTGCATTGGCATTTAAGTCATCACCACTTTGCAACAGGATTTTATTTCAAATCCATCCCAGTTTTCTGACATTTCTTCCTAGTCAGAAAAGAATGAAATGAAGAGAGCACATTAAGATGACACAGAGAATCAGTGGACACAATGACAGAAAAGGACTGCCAGATGGCAGAAAATCAACCCTGAAAAAGAACAGCAGAAAAAAATCTGGAGCAAACACTGAAGCGTACAAGGCACTAATGAAGCATTCTGCCTGAGAAGTTATGCTGGGATCATACCAAAGCACACTCTGAAGTGAGAAAGACTCCAACTGGCAAAGGAAAAGAAGCAGAAAATTGCTAATTGCTAAAAAATTAAGCAGCAGAATTATAATTTGGTTTCTATGACACTTGTCACAGACATAAAAAGTTTGAGAAATTTCAGCCAATAGAATTTGTTGTCAATTGACAGACTGCAAATTATTGACTATGGTATTGAAAGAAACTAACACACATGTGCATTTAAGAAGACATCCCTTGCCTCTGCAAAGCCTCTCCTATCCCCTTTTTGTTCTCCAGTCCCCTCACCACAGCCTCACAGTCCAGTCCATTCAGAAAAGTGACAGTGAGCCCAGCAGAGTAGGTTTACTGTGCTGTGGTTCCGTCCTCATCAGCCTCTCCTGAAACAGGCCTCTTGGTACCTGCATGGCATAACTCTTATACTGGAAAGGAAACCAGCACACATGAAAAGAAACATGAATTTGCTCTAGGTGAGAAACTAGCAATTCAAATCTTCCATTTGTAATCACAGAGAAATTTCCAAAGGGGAAAAAAAAAGCTTTTTTCCAGATTACAATCCTTAAGATTCATGATTTTTCATGTGCTTGCAATCCCTAAGATTTTTGATTATTCATGCATTCTCCAAAGGAATGAAAGTTCAGCTTTCCAAACATCTTAAAAATACTGGTTACTTTAAGTACTAGCAAGATCCAGACTGTTTTGGTTCTTGGAAGGCTAAAATCTTCGAGGAGTACTCCAAACTCTTCACTGAATATCAACAGCTCATCAAACTCACAGATACATCTTCTGTACTAGATGAAATAGATAGAGTAGTTTAGGTAACTAAAAATACACCTCATTTCCTTGTAAGAATGAGAAATCTTTCTGTTTGAGGAGTATAAAGGACATCTGAGTTTCTGAAAAGTAGCAAGAAATAAAAAGTCTACGTAAAAACCTTCCACATACTATTGTCATAACACACATTACTATTAAAAAAAAGAAACAAAAACAATGAGAAGAAAATAAACCAGACATGAACAATAAAAATCTTGACACATTTGAAAACATGAAAGGAAATACATGTATGATGAGAACTTCTGGAAAAAAGCTGCTGGAAATAGTGCAAACAAATGAGCAGGAGTTAATTTTTCCTATTCTTTTTTCTTCCTTTTTTTTTCCCTCTGAAATGGAAAAGGAAGAACTACTGGACACAGGGATAACCTGGATGTGAAGATGATTACATGTTTACATGATTACAGTTCTATCAGCACAGCACTGAAGGAAGAAATATCAGAAGGTGATGGGAAAGAGGAAAGAAGGGTTGGAAGGGTTAGCCAGTTAATTCTAATCCACACATGAGACAGTAAGAGCTTTGTGAACCCTTATGAGTTTTCAAAAGCAGATGGATAAGAGATGGGAAGATAAGACAAATTCAAGAAAAACAGCAATAAACTAGAAAATGTAATTAAGTCCCTGCTTCTGACTTACCTTAATGACATGAAACAGACTTAGCTTTTATTCCATCTTTACTTCTTTGAAACTTACCTTGCAGTTCCACAAGTTTGTTTTTTGCATCACTTAATTCTTCTTCTGCACTACACATTTTCAGATGGGCACCTTTTCTGGCAACTGCCAATTCATACTCCAGACCTTGTCGAATGGCCTCTCCTCTCTCAAATTCTGACCGTAATTTGATTATCTGTTTTTCATAGTTGGACACCTAGAAAATAAATTTCACAAAACTGTTAACAATGTTCCCTTGAAGATGTGCAATATGTAACAGAAATGCACCAACAGAATACTTTTTAAAGATACTTGGAATCACATCCACAACTGACATCCTATTCCACTTGAATTTGAAATACAATCTTGCAACTGCTTGCTTATGCACATTTTGATACTGGTTTTTGTGAACTGATCCTTTTCCCAGATGAATTTCATGTACCTAAAACATACCTTTCCATTTTTCAAAAACGATACTACCTTAAAAAAATTTAGCATATATTACCGTCATCTTCCTGCACCTCAGAGGAAAATAATGCCATAAAGAGAAACATTATATTCCAGACGATTTTCTGGTAACATTCAGAACAGTCATATTGGGATACTAGACTACCAGACATCTAGTAACTCGCAAATACACATACAAGCATAAAATTCAGTCCAATAGTGCTCAGTAGACAAACAGATGCCTTTAATGCTAACACACAACAAACTAAGAATAGAAAACGCTTCCAAAAGGGATCTTATACAGGCTGAGAAACAATCTTTGCTGTCAAAAACTGGATTCAGAAAACCAAGTTCAAGACATTCCAACACAAGAAGATGGAAACTAAGATACATATTACCTCAGAACATCTACAAAGTAGCAATATTCTTGTAAACGAGAACCTCACACATGGGAAATCACCCACATTACAAAGGATTTCTTTGATGTTGTTGCAGCAAACTAGTACTGAAATGATGTAGCATTAAGAATATACTCAATTAATCTTTTCTTTAGTCTGAATGTCAATTCCCCAACTAACAAATACAGGAAAAGGTGGGTGCTGAGTTGTAATCAGTATATTGCTGCTAGGCACAGTCCCCAAATTTGCTTCCCACAGTCTAGCAGTTGATAATCTAGTTTAAACTATGCTGCTGAAGTATTATTACTACTGTAGGTAGCAATTCTGCTCTAAGCAATCTCCCAGGAGAAGTTGATGTGGATGCTCATTCATCTGGTTTTGGCTAAGTACAGCCAATAAAACAAGTTTGTTGTTCCATGTACATTTATTATGTGGGTATGTACCCAAAATAAGAGAAGCCTGCTTGTCTCACAATGACTTATTCTTGTGCTTCAGTTAAATTGCTGTTTTCCCACTGGATAATCAACTGTGGTGTCATTGCAAAAAATAGATCCATGGAACTATCTGGATTAAAACAAACAAACAAACAAACAAACAAACAAACAATCTCTTACTTTGAGCTCAAGGTGCACAAGAGTCTTCTGCACTTTGCTGTTGAGAAGCGCTTGAGTTACCTACCTCACCTTTAACTATTAACAATGACAGCAGAGGTGCTAACAGTTATCTATGAACAGACATGAGAAGTCTGTACAGTGATACCTTTCTTCATATTTTCCAGTTACAGACTATGCTTTTGATCCACCATCTGAGAATATTACTTCAATGAAATAAGATGACATTTATTCCAAGAGTAAAATAAGGCAAGTGAAAAAGACATCCTTACTTCTTGATTGTGTTGAATAGCCAAGTCCAAATTTTCTTTTTTAGCTTGAAGAAGTTTCCATTTCAGACCTAAAACAGCATCCAATTCTGATTTATTGCTCTTCTGCAGTAGCTCACATTCCTCATTATGTAAGCTGCAAAATAGTATTGTTTTAAAGAAAACATAAGCATTCCTTGTAAGTTTTAATGTTCCCTTATTTAATTGTCAGATTGTGGGACCAAAGCTGTATACATTCACTTAAGTAAAGCTATGCCTACTGTTGCTTATTATGCAAATTTTGAGAGATGTAAAAGCAGGAACTTACATTAGATATGCACTTTTAAATTCCGTAAGTCGATTTAAGCATTCTTTTCATTATTTTTATTATTGATCCAATAAATTTCCAGGATGATTAAAAACATCATTTCAATAATATATATTAAAATGACTAGCAAGTTTCTGTCTATTTCTTCAGTAAGGCTCATTTTTTAACATGAATTACTGTCTCAAAAGCATCACTGTCATATAACAAATGCATAAATGTGGAATAAATCTCACTCTTCCACATTTTGTTTTCAAAAATATATACATCTAAACTACAAATAAACAACTGTTCACAAAAAAAAAAATAAACTAAAGGCGTTGTCCTGTAAAATACTCTGTTATTTCCACTACTTTTTCAGCCAAAGGAAAATCTACTTGGCAGGTAACAGGATTTGCCTCTGAGCATCACAAGCACTATCAAAATAACCAAAACAAACTTTTATGTAGAGAGTGAAAAATTAGTATTAAAATACATATTTAATTAACTAGCTAAATAATCTTGTAATCAATTATTATAACTTCAAAGTGGACAACTCAAAGTATTTCAGGAGCTGAAATTCAGCCTTCACATTATTTGATATACATAATTTTTCAAATTACTAAAGCTGTGTAACAATGGCTCTACTAATCAGCTGTTCCACACAAAAGTGAAAGGGCCACTACATATGAATTAAACTGTAAAAAGAAACATGATTAAACTAAACAAAAAAAGTTGGCATCATTTCATGCAGAGCTGAAAATACTAAAATAGCTTACCTTGGTCTACATGAAGTCTTAAATAATTACAGAAAGAACAGTTTCATAAATTCCAGTATACTGGGTTTTTCTAAATAAAAAAATTATTGCTTTACTCCTAGATTTATGCACAGGCATCATTAACATTTTTCACAACTAAAACCTTTACCTGATGATATGTTTTCTCACATAAGCTGACAAACACAAATGTCATCAACAAGTGGAACAGTGTTCTAGATTAAATATAGCCTTTAAAGATATTAATAACAACAAATGATGAAATATCAGGTTTTTAGCTGCAGCCTATAAATACTTTATAATTTAATAAATTCTGTCAAATCTTCATTTAAAACCAAGATGGATTTCATCTGTGTGATCAGAATAATTGTATGTCATCAGTACTTGGTCCACAGGGTGTCATGTACTTAACACATTTTATATTTTTAATATATGTAGGAGACAAAGATCATTAAAACCTACATGTACTGCAAGAAAATCACTGGCACATTATTAGCTTTCAGTATTTACATACCCAGAGGAACCATCACATCTCAAAGGGCAAACAATCAGTAAAATCCCATATCATTATTTTAAGCAACTCTTAGCGAATGCAATTAAGAAAATATGGTGGTAAGTCAGGAAGGAAGTAAAAAGAATCTGAACAGTGAGTGATACTTTTTCACTCATCCTAAAATCATGATCCAGACACAGGTGATAAAAAGGGGCCCATTATAGGGATCCTTAGGTGCACAATTCTCCAGGTGGAAAACACTGAAGATGCACATGTAACATAACGTATACAACTTTTATGTTTAGCAAATTAGCGTATCTAACAAAAATCCCCAGTTAGAGATGTAAGTGGTAAGGTAATTTCCTCACAGTTCAATCTTCTTTGAATTCCCCTAATTTAGACAGGAACTAAATTTGATTTATGAAAATGTGTCTCAGAGACCTAGTTTCAACCTTGGTGTCCACAAAAATCTAACACTGGACCCCCAGGTTGGAGCTACTGGGAAATTTATTTTGTCTCTCCGTCTAAAAGAGTAGGTAAAATGCTGCGAATACTATGATAGGCTACAGAGTTACAAATATATGTGTAAAGAATATACAAAGTATATAAAAGAAAAAAACAGGCAAAAATCAATTCGGCATCAAGAGCACCTGTAAACTGTATAAAAGGTTTGTTGTGGACATCATATAAAAGTTTGGTAGACCTTTATTTTCCCATGGCTGGGGAAAACAGATGAAAAGTAGGTTGTTTTATTCAAGGATTATACAAGAAGTAGCTATCTCAACAAAAAACAGCCAGCCAAAAACCTGGTGGCACCAAGATTAACAAAGCACCAGGTAGAGGGAAAAACAGGACCCGAACTGAAAGCTAGGGGTGACTAATGTAAAGAACAAGGATTAAAAAAAGGATAACCATTTTGATAGTTTGTGGGCAGCAGGGAGGTTCATTCTACTTCATTTTACTTACTTAAGCCTGATATTAAAACTTTTTGCAAGGAGAGCACGTGAAATGAAAGCAAGGGAACAAGTACTTTTTTAAAAGTAATTAAAAAAAACCACCTTCAAATCATAAAGGAAATTACTTTGGTTATTATGACAATCAGCTCTTAATAAAGCTCTTCCTTTCAATTCTTCTATTAATTACGCAGGGGGAAAAAAAGAGTGTACTGGAGATACCTGCACAATAAAACTTACTCAGGGAAAAATTTAACTATGTGCTTAACTGGACCAGTAGTGGGAAAAAAAAAACCCACTACAAAAAAAGTTACATTGATACCACAATAGCAAATTAGGGACATTATAGAAATGAAAAATGTGCATAAGAGCATGAAGACAAACAACATAACTGTAAGTACCAGGGTAAAAAAGCATTGAAAATAGCTTCTTACTCACAGCTTCTAAACTTACAATATTATTAGCAAGAACTTAAAAATACAAAGCAGAAAAGCCAATTTTTGTTCTCAGTATAGAGCAAAGTCAGCAACTTAAAAAAAAAGACAACAAAACTGGCAGAATATTATTATGTTACCACTTCACTAATTTATTACTTAAATATTTTCAAATAAAATAAGAATTCTCCTTAATTAGCCACCTTATTTCTGTGGTATTTTCCTTAATCCTCACAGCATCATCAGCACATGCAGTAAGTACTTTATGAAAGCCTATACTACCAACTGTAGAAGAGTCTTTCTTCCATATTCATTTACCAGTAGAAGTGCTACAAGCATAAAGTTCTTGGAAGCTTAAGTCACAAAATCAGGCAAAATCCCCAGAAAGTTTGAAATCATGTGTGATTTTCATTCTAGGAGGAAATCAGAGACTGCTTTGCACTTCGTTTTTCACATATTAATAGTTTGTTGATCATTGGTTTTGAATGAAAACACATATTTTACGAGCTAGACCTTTTATCTAAGACACTATTTTTGGTAGTACTTTAAGACTCTTTAAGAAAGCATATCAGCAAGTGAAACATCTTTTGAGTACTACAACACAGAATGCTCAAAAATTCACACTCACTTCACAAGTCAGCTAATTACAGTCAACAAAGAACATCACAGGGAAACAGTTTTCACTAGCTTGTCTTCCATATATGGCTGAAAGCGTAGAGTAATTTTGTATCAGACAAACTTTCTTTCACTTACCATGTAGCAGTGTAATTATGCTAAACTTCTCCAGTTGAAGAAGCAGTCTGTAGCCTGACTTCCTAACCAAAGTATCTATTCACTGAATTGTGCTATTTCTATACAACCAGCAGGTTCTTACAATCAGATTTTAAATTGTGACAAATAGCTCTCTCAGTTAAGATAAACAGAATGAATTAAAGTTTACTTTAATTGTGCCAAAGATCAAACACATATCAGGTTTAAAAAACTAAGAGCCATGTGCCACACTTATAACCAACCTCTACACCCACAGCTACTGTAGAAAACCCTTCTGGAACTCCACAACATTGTTCCCAAATGGAGACAAAAACTACCTCTGTCATGTCTCCTATACCCCTGTGAGAATTCTTGCACATCAGATGGCCAGTATGCACACCTGCAATGATGGAGTGACTGCTGCCAAAAATTCAAGAAAATAATAAACTCCTTAACAGCAATGTAATATTAAGAAACAGGCATTCTTTATTCAGCCAGATGCACAAGTAGTAGCTCCTCCTACACTCTTGCATGCTGAGTATAGTAAAATTTCTGATTATACACTGTATTTTACATACATATTCATTGATTGTGCCAGAATAAAAATACACATGTCCCAGAATAAAAATACACAAATTTACTCATTATCATTTAAATATTTTCGCTCTCCTTTAAGCACGTATTCCTCTGTCCTGGGGGTCTCTCTGGTAGCCCACAGTGGTCAGGGACACCAATGTTACAGCTGACATAGTCAAGCTGGCAGGGCACTGGGTGAACTTCCAGTTCTCCTTCTTACACAATGGGCATTGTGCAGTTCCACAGGCCAATAGTTGTGGGAGAACAACCACTGTGTTAGCTCACCTGGTGTAGACAATTTATCGCCCAGTAACATGACAACATCAGTGGACAAAGGAAGGGCTACAGATGGCATTTATCTCGGCTTCTGTAGTCTTTTGACACAGTCCTCCACAACATCCTTCTCTCTAAACTGGAGAGCAATGGATTTGATGGGTGGACTCATTGCTGGTGGATATGAGAACAGCTGGCAGTAGCATCCAGAGGATAGTGATTAATGGCTCAGAGTCCCAAAAGAACATCAATGACAAGTGGTGTCCCTCAGGATCCATACTGGGATTATGTTATTTAGTATCTTCATTAATAGCACAGACAAAGGGATTGACTGCTCTCTGACCAAGTCTGCTGATGACACCAAGCTGAGTGGTGCAGCTGACACACTTGAAGGACAGGATGCCATCCAGGGAGACCTGGACAAGCTCAAGAAGTGGGCCCATGGGAATCTCAGGAGGCTTACCATGACCAAGTGCAAGGTGCTGCACGTGGGTCAGGGCAAGCCCCAGCACCAACACAGGCTGGGGATGAACAGATCAGAGCAGCCCTGGGGAGAAGGATTTGGAGGTGCTGGGGGATGAGAGGCTGGACATGACCCAGCCATGGGCACTCCCAGCCCAGAGAGCCAAACGTGTCCTGGGCTGCATCCAGAGCAGCGTGGGCAGCAGGGGAGGGAGGGGATTCTGCCCCTCTGCTCTGCTCTGCTGAGAGCCCACCTGCAGGGCTGACCCAGCTCAGGAAGAACATGGACCTCTTGAACATGTCCAGAGGATGCCCAAGAAGTTGATGAGAGGGACAGAGAACCTTTCCTGAGGTAAACTGGTGCAAGGCTGAGGGAATTGGGTTTGTTCACCCTGGAGAAGTGAAGCTTCAGGGTGACCCAACTGTGGCCCTCCAGCACTTGAAGGGAGTCTACAAGAAAGATGGAGAGAGACACTTTACAATAGCATGTAGTGACAAAACAATAAAGAATGGTTTTAAACAGAAGAAGAGAACGTTTAGATTAGATATTAGAAAAATCCTTTACTGTGAGAGTGGTGAGGCACTGGAACCAATTGCCCAGAGAAGCTATGGAGAACCACATTCCTGGCAGCTGGCTCAAGACCAAGGTGCTCTGTGCAATCTCGTCCCGTGGAAGGTGTCCCTGTCCAGAGCAGACGGTTGGAATTCAAGGATCTTAGAGGTCTGTTCCAACCCTGGCCATTCCATAATTACAAGATCTAATAACTGTATTGACATGGTATAGCTTGCATATATCACACCGTGGCTGGTTCTTTTTTCAGTCTGAATTACACAATTTCAGAGATCTAAAAAATAAACCACAAAAACCAAAACTATATTGCTAGACTAAAAAAACCAGAAATGAAACTCACTTTCTATCTTCTGTGACAGAGTAGTTGACTGGAGAGGATGAACTCATGATGGTCAATAGACAGCTTTTCAAGCTGCATAAACCATAAACTCTGGAGAATGAATTGTTGACTGTATATACGTTTACTTGACAAGTTCCCAAGATGATTCTTCCATATCATAAAAACATTACAATCTGCAACAGAGACATGCTTTAATTTATTTGCCAACATAATGAAAGAATCATTTGTTAATACTCACAAGCAGTTAGAAAACAGTGTTACTACTATGTCATGTGAACAACTACCAACTATAATTTTACAGTTTTAGACATCTATGAGAATTGTACTTCTAATCCTTGAAGCTTAAATACTGTAGATCAATATAAACATATATAGTAACATAGCAGAATATCTCCTGCCAAGGTTTTCAGAATATCAGTAAAAAGTATTTTGTTCCCACACACTGATTCTCTATCTTGTAAACATATTACAAACTCCATTTCTCTTCAAAATATTCTATTGAAGATAAAAGTGTATACCATGATTGAATGTACTACTGTGCTGTCTGATAACAGCCTTTAACACAAGTCTTCCAAGTGTTTTACGAACCTGGAATTTTCTATTTGAACATATTTTTATTGTATTAGATAAATTAGCAATATTTAGGACTAAACAGAAGGAATTCTAAATTGAACTGTAACTCCACTCATCTTTTGGAAAAAATCGTTAATTTAGTGTCACAATAAAAAAGAAATCAATATAGACAACATATTTATAACGCAATGCATGAAAAAAATTCCATTGCTTACATTAAGTTGTGCAGTCAACTCATTAAAGACCTCTTTTCATTAATTAAAGGTAAGATAACATGAAATATAAGCTGTATTCAACAGTCAATATTGATGAGCCATAAAGGTTTGCTTTTGAACATGATAGCAGATGGACATCCATAATAAAGTCCAAAACAGGAAACTCACCTGGACTCCATTTTTACCATCCCTGGTTGGCAGTCACATGTCCACAGAATCATAGAATAAGCTGAGTTGGAAGTCACCATTAGAACTATCAAGTCCCAACTCCTGGCCCTGCACAGGACACCCCAAGAGTCACACCATGGGCCTGAGAGCATTGTCCAATGCTCCTTGAACTCTGTCAGGCTGGTGCTGTGACCACTTCCCTGGGGAGCTGTTCCAGGGTCTAACCACATTCACCTAAGGGTGAAGGACCTTGTCTGAATATCCAGCCTAAACCCCCCCGACTCAGTTTCAGGCCATTCCCTCTGTCCTGTCACTGATAACCAGAGATTAAGGATCAGTGCCTGTCCCTTCCCTTCCCCTTGTGAGGAAGTTGTAGCTGCAATGAGATATCCCCTCAGCATCCTGCAGGCTGAACAGACCAAGTGACCTCAGCCATCCCTCACAACGTTTTCACCAACCGTGCAGCCCTCCTTTCAATGCTCTCCAATACTTTAATGTATATTTTATATTGTGGTGTCCAATGGCAGCAGTCGGTGTAATATATTAATATAAACTGATTTTAGTAATTCCAGTGGCTGCACTAGAAATATGGAGAAGAAAAAAAAATTTCTGCTTCAATCTATAATTTTAACAGAAGATGCAGCAAAAATGAACTTACTTCTAACAACTGTAAGTTTTTTGTTTGGGTTTTTTCTTTGTTTGTTTTGTTTTTATGGAAAAGCAGTATATTCATACAGAATAGCTACGTGTATCCTTTGTGATTTTTAACATCTACACACTGGAATTCACCTTGGTACATGTGTTCATAAAATTCAAAACAAAACAATTGCCAAGCAACTCGCACTCCTAGAAAAAACAGCATAGCTTATTTTTCTCATCTCAAATGAGAAAATAGTTGAAAACCTCATTTTCAAAGTATAGCCTGTAGTATAATTTCTAGACACATGTTAAGTTCCATTATTTGTGACTTGCCTACTGAAAACTAACTTTAGGTGAGAGAAGAAAATCTTGACAAAGTACTTGCAGATGAAGTACAAAGATGTATTGCTTCGATAAAAAAGAAAATTAGGTATCCTGGTATCAAGAAAAATTAGGTATCCTCTATCAATTGTTCCAAATTTTCAGCTCGCGTTAGTGGAGCTGAAAATTTGGAGCTGAAACCTTCAGACATAGCTCTGAACACTAAAAAACTAGTTTTTTATACCACCCTTTTCTTAATATTTATTGCCAAAAATATATATGTGGCTTTATACCAAAATTTGAAAAGTAGAAAATGAAAAAAAAAAGTGCAATTAAATAGATGCAGCAGAAAAAAAAAAATCTGTCTCAAAATATAAGCAAAATCTCCTCTGACACATTCATACCACCCTGAAGTTTTAGAACTTTCTGAAATTACTTTTAAGTATTTTAATTACTTTGTGGGGGGAGGGAAACAGGGAATATCTAATGACTGTTTTCTGGGAACGCTAATGATCTTGAATATACAACATCTCTCTGGTAAGACACACATCCATTGTTTACTACCACACAAATGGATACATTCCAAAAGCATGCTATATCAATCAGGGGAAAAAACAATTGAAGGGGTGTGGAATGGCTCGTCAAAGCCCCACAATAAAACAAAATAGTAAGGAAGTTTTTGCTTGAGGACGTAACACATTAGACGGATGTTACCTACAAAATTTGTGGCATATTATTCTCACGAACTTTTGAATACGCTTTCCTAGCTTTATGAAGGCCATTGATTTAGACTGGATGTGGGGAAGAAATTTTTTATTTTGAGGGTGTTGAGGCACTGGAACAGGTTGCCCAGAGAAGCCGTGGATGCCCATCCCTGGAAGTGTTCCAAGACCAGGCTGGATGGAGCTTTGGATTAGTGGGAGGTGTCCCCTGCCCACGGCAATGGAATGGAATTGAAGGATCTCTAAGGTTCCCTCAGCAAACTGAATCTAACCAAGATGTACTAACTTGAAACACACCAAGCCAGGCGGAACTACCACATCTGTGCTGCAACTCCAAGAGCTCACCAGTTTCCGCTGAACGAACCACCAGTTTTCCACTAAGGCGAGATGAAAAATTTTAAGCGAGCTAAAAACCAAAGTAGAGGCATCCCTTCGCACCGCTGGCCCCGGAGCGGCGCTGGCTGCGCGCACGCCGTAACGGCGGCTTTGGCGCTTTACCTGGCAGGAAGGGCTGAGGGAACAAAGTCAGAACAGAGCTCCAGCAGCAGCACCCCGGGGCCGCTCCGGGAAGCCGGGAAGGGCAGGGAAGCGCCGGGAAGGGCAGGGAAGCGCCGGGAAGCGCGGCGCCGCTCCCGGGTCCCGCCAGCAGGGAGGCGGCCGGCGCGGCGCGCCTCCGTAACGGCAACTTCCGGCCACGGCGCGACGTCATCAGCGGGCGGGCGGGCGGGCGGCGCGCGCGGGCTGTGGCGGGCGCTGCGGGCTCCGAAAGCAGAACGTGCGATAGGAAACGGGAATGAGCGCCTGGCGTGAGAGCCGGGCTCAGGGGGGCATGGCCTCGGGCTCGGGGCAGCACGCTGTTCCCTCGTATTATCAAGAGAAACCAACAGGGAAATGGTTTCGAGAGACCCTGGGACGAAAGTCACAGCAGGGAGGATGAGGGAGATCGTAACGAGGTTGGCATTGCCCTTCTGGTCGCCTCATTGCACAAAGGGAAAGGTTTATTTGAAACAGCTCCGCTGAGAATTTCAAGACCCAGGTGTAAATATGTATGATGTCAAACAGCAGCAGCATAAGCGAGTGAGTGCATAAAATCCACCCCACCATACCCTAGAAAAGAGGACAATAGCAGTAATGTCAGTGGTATGGCCTTCAAGGTACAAATTGAAGTTTTAATAAAAATTAAAAAGCTCTGTAATATTTTCACCCTCTGAGATAAAGACTCAAAACTTAATTTCTAGTCTCTAACTTGATTTCTATAATTGGCTTTTACTGATGGTTTTTGTGCTTCTCCATTGTGCAGTTATTGTAAATGCCTAGTGCCAAATGAATTAATTTTTTTGCCCAGGTTCACAACAATAGATTTCATTATGTTGCAGTTCTTTTAATAACAGCATGGTTAGGGGTTTTTTGATCAAAAAATACAGAGTGAAAAGGATGTCCTCTCTGCTGTTGTCTGATGAGTAGTCAAAAATTAATATGAAAAATGGCCTCAGTTAATGAAAAAATATAAGTTATGTGATAATATGAAAGGAAGGAGAGATTTGGCATCATGTTTGAATAATGAGATAGGTTTTGGCAGTATAAAAACTTGGGAAATTCTGAACCAGTAGTAATATTGGCTTAACTGCCCCAAATGTCCCGCACATTGTTTTTTACATTGATTCACAAAAATTACTTTAGACAAATACTGTTGCTACATGCATGTAGTTAAACAAACACTTTTCCTTCCTCTCATACTGAAAAATACGTATCATATATAGAGTCATATATAGAATTATTTTGGTTGGAAAAGACATCTAAGAGCAAAACATCCTACCATTAGCCCAGCACTGCCACGGCCACCACTAAACCATGTCCCTAACTGCTGCATCTATATGTCTTTTAAATACCACCATGGATGGGGACTTTTGTCCCAAGTGGTCATTCATTTTTGCATAGGAAGAAAGTTTTTTACCTGTCTTAACATATTGATGACTTTCTGTTTTTTATGAGAAAGTTGATTTCAGGGATATGACCATTGCCACCTTCAAGAAAATCAAACAGATCTGACTTGTTTAAGCCATCAGAAAAAAGCAAGAACAAAGTGGATAACACAGATGGTGTGAAATTTTACAGTTAAAGTTTATAAAACAACATTTTGCATTGAAGGAGGAGAGAGCCTAGAACAAATCACAACTTGCTCTGTGGCAACTGCAGTGGATGTTTTGGGCCTGACTTGAGTTTCAGTATCAAAACTGAAAGGGGTAAGATAATTCTTCTGACAAGGACTTACATTTATGCTCAAGTGGCACAGAGGAGAGCTGGCAGAAAACATACCTGTAAAACTTGTGCATCAGACCACACACCAAAGATGGAAACTTGAGCATAAAATGGCTAGGTCTGCCCCTGCAAAATAGTGTAAGGAGTAATTTTTTGTGCCATACTGTGACTTGCAGGTGGGGCCATCATGTAGGACTAAACCCAGAGAGGATTGACAGGCAAGCTAATTTTTGATGCAGAACTGGAATTAGACAGCAGGACAAGCAGGCCGTAAGAAAGAAGGTAGTGGGTTCATATCTGGTTTTGAGATCTTCACTTTGAAAGAAAGGTATTTGTGGGGAGGATGGAGCTGGCTGATGTGCTCACTAAGGAGATCAGCTGACAGAAACAGGAGAGGAGGGCACAGTGGCTTGAAATGCTAGGTGAGGAGGAAGCTTAATGTGGACTGGTAAACAAACCAGGAGAGAATAGATATGGAGAGGACAAGGGGAGTAACATAGTTTAAATTAGTAGCAATACTAGTTAGGAAACAAAACCAATCAACGAAACCAAAAAAAAAAAAAAAAAAAAAAAAAAAAAAAAAAAAAAAACCACAAAAAAACTCCACCAAACACAGGAAATAATGGCGACTAAGCAGCAAATAAAGATTCTGTTACAGACTTAAGGAAAATCAAACAACCGTGAGTAGTTGTATGCTGGGGGAAGTCAGGATATCAAGCAAATAAGTGGCTGGGGAGTACCCGGGTGACACGGGCAGCTTTGCGTCCGGCAGCAAGAAGGGATGAAAAGCCCGGCAAGGGAACAGCTCTGTAGCAGAGCTCGTGGGGCGTGAGACACACAAAGGGCCCCGCGAGGACAGCCGCACTCGCCCGCTTTGGAAAGGAGATTGGGGCTCACTAACCACGCCAGCCTGTCAACGGCTGAGCAGGGCCCATT